GTATTGGTATCATGAACAAAGAAAACAATTTCAATGTTATAACTCATTTTGCTATTCTAGGCCTATGAGAAGAGTAGGATGCTGATAAAATTTGTATGTTATGTTCAATTCTTACAGAATGAAAATCAAAGAAATTCATTTAAAAAAATACTTGTATTTTTTCTGATTATTTTCGTAATTGTTCAATTAGGTACCAGAGTTTGTGCCGAAGTCTGGCGTCAAAATAGCTGTTACAGACTCCCAAATGGCCATGAACGGTAACAACGTCGACTTGGATCGAGTAACTCAAATTAAAGAGGAGCTACCCTCCGTCGAAGAACTGAACGGGCTCTGTCTTACTCCGCTAGAATTCGAAAAGGACGACGACACCAATTTCCACATGGATTTCATTGTTGCTGCTTCTAACCTCCGAGCAGCAAACTATAAAATACCTCCCGCAGACAGACACAAGTCTAAGCTCATTGCAGGTAAGGTGAAACAAAAGAGAATCCTGATTTTGGATTTGGCAATAATGCTGTTCGTGAAGTGTCTGAATATCGAAACAAGAATTTGGACATCTATTGAAAATATAAATTTGAAATATCCACATGGCAGATTTCTGTCGCGTATGTTCAAAATTCCCGCATAGAATATATTTTTTAAACTATGTAACGTACGCTTATTAGACTGATATCTTACATGGTCGATTTAGATTATATTTTGGAACAATTCACAAACAAACATTCAAAAAATATTGTTCAATGATCAAATACGTGAAATATCTATTTCAATTTGTGCTATCTCTACAAACTAATAAAAGGTAGAATATCCTATCTCTTGATGTGGATTTTGTACTATTAAAATGGACTTTGTTATCATTGTGGACTTGTAACTATTAAGATAGAATTTGAACTCTTAACACGGACTTTGAACTCTTAATGTAGACTTAAATCTCTTGAAGTGGATTTTGTACTCTTGTGGATTTGTAACTATTAAAATAGAATTCGAACTCTTAACACGGACTTTGAACTCTAAATTTAGACTTGAATATCTTGAAGTGGATTTTGTACTCTTGTGGATTTGTAACTATTAAAATAGAATTCGAACTCTTAACACGGACTTTGAACTCTTAATTTAGACTTGAATATCTTGAAGTGGATTATGTACTCTTGAAATGGACAGTGAAATCTATTATTATTAAAATAGAATTTTAACTGCTAAGATGGACTTGGAACTCTCAATGTAGACTTGAAACTCTTGAAATGGGTTTTGTACTCTTGAAAGGGACTTTGAAATCTTTGTGGACTTGGAACTATTAAGATGTAATTTGAACTTTCAATATATGCTTTAAACTCTTAATGTTGACATTAAACTTTTAATAGTTACTTTAGACTTTTAATGAGGATTTTGTACTCTTAAAATGGACTTTAAAATCTTTGTGGACTTGGAACTATCAATAAGAACTTTGAACTTTCGGTATGGACTTTCCACTCTTGAGTTCGAGGTAGAGAATAGTAAGAAGAATATAATGTGTGCACTTTAATTTTTCTTGTGCTCTCCATTGAATGTGAAAATGAAATGTATACCATCTGTCGTGAAAAATAGGATGAAACTAATTTCATTTCATTTAGATAGTAGATCTTTCTGTACCCGTCATCTACAAACTAGCTTTTCTCACTCACCTTCCTCTTAAACTGTTATTTCAGTCGTACTAACAAAACAGTACCAACCTAAATTAGGCGCTTAATTTGAAAATTATCTACACTGACATATTGACTAATCAACTCTATTCCTGCAGGTAAAATCATCCCGGCTATTGCTACCACGACATCCGTCGTAGGGGGGCTCGTCTGCTTCGAGCTGTACAAACTGACACGAAGCATGAAGAGTTTAGAACCATTCAAAAACGGCTTTGTCAACCTCGCGCTGCCTTTCTTTGGCTTCTCCGAGCCGATCGCGGCCCCCAAGATGGAGTACTGTGGCAACGAGTGGACACTTTGGGATCGCTTCGAGGTCCAAGGAGAGATGACGCTCAGCGAGTTCTTAACGTACTTCAAAGAGAAGCACAACCTCGAGATCACAATGCTCTCCCAGGGCGTTTGCATGCTTTACTCGTTTTTCATGGCAAAGGCCAAGGCGCAGGAAAGACTCGGACTGACCATGTCAGAGGTAGTCAAGAAGGTGTCGAAGAAGAAGCTAGAACCGCATGTGAGGGCTCTTGTTTTCGAGTTGTGCTGCAACGACGCCGAAGGCGAAGACGTTGAAGTGCCCTACGTGAAATATAATCTGTGTTGAGTTGGGGGTACATGACGGGCTAGGGACGTGCGCACGTTGAGGTTATAGTGATGTGTTTTAAATTATTGATTGTCTCCGGGAACCGTATGGCGGTTCCCTAAGCTCCAAGACAGTTTTCATCGGTGCGGCGTGGAGGGTAAGCATTTAAACCAACCGATGCGATATAATTAACATGTAGAATGCTGTTATTTTTATGAAATTGTAGATTTCAAGGTAATAATTATTATTTTCCTAAATATTTTCATGTGTGTGAGCAAATAAAATGTTTACATAATTTGAGTTTTTTTTATTTCATCCTTACAACCTACCTTGTATTCTCTGCCTATAATTCACTAATAGACAGGTATTTATTCGTGCTTCTAATCGTAAAGATTTTACACACGTCAAGAATGTGGTTATAAAGTAAAATTCATTTACAGGAACATACAAATTACAACTGAAATAAATCAAACAAGACAATAGTACAGAAACAAATTATGGTCGCATAATCGAAATGAACATAATCAAATTCCGTTCAGATCGGCATTGAAAATGTTGATGGAGTAACTTTCCTGTATAGAGGCCTTTCAAGTATTACTAAGCATATTTATTACAATTATTTACCCCACCCCCTTGTCAGCAAAATTAAGCAACGCTCTTACCCACCGTGCTTACATAAACATTGTTATATAAATTTCTCAAACAATGTATGGTTGCAATATGTGTAAAAAAGTTAATAACTATTACTGAGCTAATTACCATCCAGACCCCCTGCCTTGTCCCCATAGTATACGAGGTGTGTTGGAAAAGTAAGGTGAATTTTCATTTTACTCAAAAAACATTTTTTTCATCAAATTTCTATTTTGTCCCCTACCCAGTAGTCCCTCTCCGATATACACTTGTGCCCGCGTTTATTACAACTCTCCAAGCAGTTCCGATATGTATGATTCTCCGTAACAGCTGTAACGGGTAATGTTCCTCCTGACGAGAATCAAGTAGTTTTCATAAAAGAGCTCTAAAACAAAGCATTTTAAACTTATCATTTCAACCTTTTTCTTTAAAAAATTATTTAAATACTTAAAAAAGAGGAATGAAATGGTGCATTCAACATTTAAAGGGATTCGTTTCTATTTCACCATTTGGCAACATCGGTTATAGCTAATAAAGGACAATGAATCTGTTACCTGTATGAGACAAAGATGCCATATTTTAGAGGCGTGCTGTTCTGTTTATTTATGTTCCGAGACATTTTGTGCCCCTAACCTATCTTCCTCTATATAAATAAATAACGAAACAACTGTTGTTTATGTGGTTTGTGTAGGTGGTATTGAACATATATTTATATTTTGGCTTAATTGTTAATTTATAAAGATACTTTTCCTTTTTTAAAGTAGAATATCTAGGTACGTATACATTATTTCAACTTGATATAGGCGCTGTTGCCAATATGTGAATTAGAAACGAATCCCTTTAAAAACTAAATCCCAACATTTGAAACATCAATTTGAATACTTTTGAAAAACTCATGAAATAAATTCAACTTTATTTTGTTCGAACTTGTATTTTCTGTAATAACCCAAATTGAGGAACATTCCCCACTGTGAAAATATGTTCTAGACGAGTGTACCAACATAAAAAAATGAAAAATCACTAATCAAATGTACATAGTCCGCGAAATTTGAACATTCACTTAAGTATAAGGAATTATATACCTAAGCGCCTTAAATGCCCTCCTTTATAAAAATGGAACAGATACTTTCATCACGATCGGCTAATCTCCGAACCTCGCTACAATAATAAAAAAAGGACAACTTTGTAGTACTTTCAAAAAAATATTTTGTTTTCAAACGAATCAAAACCGGCATCGCCTTTGGGAGCGAAGCGACACTACGCCAATGCAAACTTCAGTTGACATTTTAAGGCGATTTTCATGTTGAAGAAAGTTATTGTGTAGGAACTGTAGGGGACATAACCACTGCAATGCATTTCGATATTGTTTTTTCAGATAAATGCTCTCAAAAACTTTGATCAAAACAAGGCATGCGATAGAATTTCTAATTTGAAATATTATTCATCATAACTTTTTATTATAGTTCTAGTATTTTCCATAGGGGTCGCATCATTATAATGAAATTTCTTCAGCCGATATTGTGGCCAAATATTCTCTTTGTTGATATTGGGAAGTTCAGATACGACGTATTTGAACTAAGCCACATGGTAAAACAAAGTCCTGTCAGCTGTTATTATATACCTATCGTTGTGGTTTCTTGTGCTTCCATTTAGTGAAAGTAATGTATATTACCAAATCATCAGTTTCCAACGTCTATAATGATCTCGTCAAACACTACTTCCACAAATTCACAATTCCGATCAGCTGTTTATCGTTTGAGAATCGTCAGCATCGGTAAAAATTCTTCATAATTGTAACAAAAGAGGACACTCGGAAGACAGCGTCTTTAATCTAAGTAATCCAATTTCGATGACCCCTGCTATTTTGTGAGGACACTGAGTACGAAACAAGGTGTCGATACCGAAGGGCTAGGTCAGGTTGAGAGCAATAAATTATTTGTGTGAAAATATCCGAATTCCGACACAGAACTTCCAACTGTTCTGTGACCCAGAACAGTAAATTATTCTTTTTGTGACCAGAATCACAGCTTCGAAACGAGTTGTTTGTCTGTTTCAACCAATGAAAAGTCGTGCTGAAAAAATGACAGCGTGGCTGCGCAAGAAAATCGCTTAACTTTTTCCTTACTTGAGAGTGGCAATTCTGATTGTTTACTCTTCTCTTTATGTTATTGTGTCAAGTGTCAACTCTCAAAAGAAATAAATTGTTATATTAGCAGTGCCATTAATTGTTTGTTATTGGTTATTTCATTATTTTGTACTAAAAATACCGTTTGTGAACTCGAAACTAATTCAACAATGCAAATTGATTGCACATATTGAAAAATTTTCAGATTCCAGATCTTAGGCAATTACATAAATACCAAGATGAGTGGATCGCCTTTATTGTATCTTCCAGATGTAGCCCTGGAAAAAATATTTTCGTTTTTATCCTACGACGAACTAGCAAAAAACAGAATTGTATGTATTCTTTGAGTTTCATATAATAATAGATATGGTAATTTCACACTTCAATTAATTGTGTAGTATATTTATTTTGGTATTTTTGACGTGTGACGTTCGATAAATTAAAAGCGGGAATTTATGTTTGGTGATTTGGTTCTGCCGTGAATTTTCTTAGAATTCATCAATCGTAAAAATGGCAGTGGTCGAAGAAGATGAAAGTATGCTAGATGCGTTATTATCAGCAGCTTCGGACGAATTGGAATATTCTGGAAAAAATGGCAGATCTCTAAAAGATACCGATTTATTTCAAAGTGAAGACAGTGTGCCACAAGTTGCAGAAGACCCAATCAAAAGTGTCGTTCGAAGCGGAGATACGGATTCTTCTGAAGATGAAAGCAATAGAAATTGGGAAAGTAGCAAATACAACCAGTGTGGAAAAGTCGTGAAAGATATTTTGGGTACTTCGCCTGTTGCAGGGAGTAGCACAAAACAAAGACTATCGCTCTGGAAGAAAAAATCTGCTCTGTCCCAACCGGTACAACCACCTTCAAAGGTTAAGGCACAAACTTTAGAAAAACAAGACGTTTATTCCGATCCCATTTTTGGCATGCGAATAATAAATCCCATGATTTCGTCAGCGGTTCTACAAGAACGAATGCTCGGACGTGAGGCAGTGTTTTTATCTAGAATTAGCTACCATTTGCAGTTCAAAAAACAAGACAGTGATTGGGTAATTGCTGGGGTTATAGTCAATAAGAGTACCATAAAGACTTCCCAGAAAGGAAATCAATACAGCATTTGGACTTTAAGTGATCTAAGGGAAGACATAAAAACTGTTGCTGTGTTTTTATTTAGTAGTGCTCACAGCCAGTTGTGGAAAACCAGTGTCGGGACTGTTGTTGGTTTACTGAATCCCAATGTTTTGGACAAGCGGGATGGATCGAAGGACGAGGTAAGTCATTATAATTTATCTCTGTATATGTTTCAGGTGTTCGACCTTAGTGTTATTTGTAATTATATAATTGTTTTTCAACCCACCGTAATTATTGTATCATAATGGTCAAATAAATTATAATTACTATTTAAAACCTATTATAATCAATTTAAATTTTTGAATTGATATATTAAGACAATGCGAAAAACTGGACTTTCAAAGGTTTGAATATTTTTAATCCTTGTCCCTAGCATTGTGTGAACTATCTTATGGAATACTTATATTGATAATAACATAATGAAACCAAAAATAATATGAAATCCAATTTTTTGTTTCAGGCAAGTCTCAGCATAGACAACCCACAAAAAGTAATGATCATGGGTCAGTCCAAAGACTTTGGGACATGCAAAAGCATAAAGAAAAATGGAGAAAAATGCACTGCTATAGTGAACAAAAATCGATGCGAGTTCTGTGTGTTCCACATTAAACAAGAGTACCAAAAATGTAGCAAGAGATCAGAGTTGCAAGCTAACTTTTCAGGCAGAGGTTTAATGGCTCTCAGGAACAAAGTGTTGGGAAAAAACGAAGTATTTTATGCTGGAAAATCTTACATGGCCATACCATCTAAAAAAAGTGCCAAACTGGAACTGAAGGATACAAACCGGCTTCAGAGTTTGAATTCTAGATTCGACGGAACAAATACAAACTCAAACAATGTCTTCAAAGCTAAAACTAACTCGACGACGAAGAAAAAACAAAGCGCCGCTAGATTGGACGTGTCACAGGCACAAAGGATGAGAGATATTGAGTTGTTGAAAAAGTTGGGAGGGTCAAACAACTTGGAAACAAAAAATAACTTTTCAGGGACACGATCTTCGGATATAACATTGGAAGAGTCCAAAAGCATTGCTCTGAGCGTGATCAACAAGCTCAAAGCTAAAAAACAGACCGATGGAGTGAGCCAGGCTGACAAAACGGAAGTCACTGATGACAAAATTTCACCATCTGAATCCCAGATAGCTGTTGAAAAGCAAAATGGAAACTTGGTAGATTATGTTCAACTGGAAGTCAGTCAAAAAGAAAACAGTAGCAAAAGTGTTGATTTGAAAGTCAATCCAAAAGCGGAAGAAAAATCCACTCCAAAGAAAATGAACAGCAAGTCCGAAACCGGCACAAACTTGAGTGCAAAAGAACGACCACCTTTCTTTCAAAGTCCATCAGCTAATGGCCTAGGATTTCCAAAGCTATCCAGTCCAGGTTCAGGGAGTTTCATAGACCTCAACAAGCCAGTCACACCCAGACATGCCGACAGGGCCAAGCTGAATGCCATCAGATTGATCCAGGAAAAGGGCCCCCTGAAGAAAGCCAACCCAAACAATCTGAAAGGTTCTGGCAAAAAAAGGTTTTTAGAAGAAAACTTGGAAGTTAACAGTCCGGCAAAGAAAAGCAAACTAGCTGAGAGTGACTTAATATCCCAGCGCTTCAAGAAAATGATGGCAGCCACATCAAGCCACATGGATCTCCTGGAGGCCAGAGACGAAGAGGAGAAGGAAAAATACTTTGACAAGCTCGAAGCCAAAGAAAGAATGGAAGAGAAAATGACTAGCACTTTCAAGATCGCATGTAAAGCGGTGAGGTGTCTCGTGTGCAAGTACACGAGCTTCTCAGCTGCGGATCAATGCAAGTCTGAGAGGCACCCGCTGAAGGTTTTCGATGCGTTGAAAAGGTTTTTCAAGTGCGGGCATTGCGGTAACAGGATCGTGTGTCTTGAAGTTATACCGACAGAAGCGTGCAAGAACTGCGGCAGTGGGAAATGGGAGAGGACTGGCATGATGAAGGAGAAAGTTGTGACTGCTGCGCATTCGCTGTCAATAAGAGGAGGGGAACAGAAGTTTATGAATTCTGTGACGACAGACGCGAATATCAATCTTTTAGTTCCTGATTCGAGTTGAAGAAGGTTCTAGAGCAGCAATAATTTTATGAAATGTGATATATTTATGATTGTTTTACTGATTCAAGTCACTTCTGAAATATATGAATAATTTTAGTAGAAATTTTCAGTGCATTATTGTGAAGATTAATTTTTTGAATATTTTTTGTTTAATTTTATTATGATTTTCATTGAGTAAATTGACACTACCACTTTCTTTTAGTAATATAACAGATATTTTTTCGAAAAAATGTATGGAAAGCTAATTATATAATTGAAAGGGGGTATATTTTAATGAGAGATTCATTTTTGGGAAAAAAAGGACTCGGCAATTGATTCCAAAATATTTCTTTTATTTATTTTATTTGTATATATTATGCCAGAAAGCATCCACACAATTTTTAAATCGTGAAACAGATGAATGGTTATCAGAATTGTCATTATCTAAAAATTAATACAATAATATAATAAACAACATATACAATGCACATTAAAAAAGTTATATAGTGAATAAAATAAAAAGTGAATGAAAACAAACATGTCAGGTGTGAGCAAAGAAGTAGAAATTACATGTTATATACAGAAATTTTCCTGTTGAGTTAGACAAATGTCGCAGTTACATGTCGCATGAACATGAAAATAAAAATTAAGTGTTATAAGTCAGTTAGAAATTTCTCAACACTGTAGTATGTTTTAATAAAAAGGAGTTCTTTAATTTCTTGTTTGAATGTAACAGATTTTTTGCATTCCTTAATCGAATTAGGTAGCTTGTTAAAAAGTTTACATCCATTGTAATAAATACCTTTCTGGTATACACTTGTTAAATGCTTTGGTAGAACTAATAACTGTTAACGAGTTTTGTAAATGTACCTAATTAATTTTCTCTGATTCAAAAAACTTCTTATTTTTGAAAACAAAATAGCAAACTTTATAGATCATTTGATCGACCACTGCGACTGCTGAATGAGCAGACTCATCTAGAGTAAAGTCCACATAACAATGACCAATTTTCTCCATTTTCACAAATTCACCGAAAACGTTCGCTAGTGATGGCAGTCAAACAAATACTGAACAACGCAGCATCTTCAAACTTGAAACATATGCTTTATGGATTGTATACTTTCTAATACGGTGATATTTTTCAAACATCCACCGCCATCTATAGGTCTGGCCCGGTACTTCTGAGATTACCCTCGTATTTCTTTTTAGTAAATTATGTGCTTTATGGCTTTACATCGTTTTCAGGTGTGTACAAGGTTCAATCAAGTCTGCGGGAACTTGTTGTCAAGGGGTTTTATTCAGCTGGACAAGAGACATTCAGCTATATTCAAAAAGCTCAAATCGATGTTGCCCCGGAGGGAATCTGAGAGAAGAGCTCATCCCCTCTCAAGACATTGTGACATCCTTCAAGCGGTTGAAACCAGGATCAGCATGTTGAATATGACTTACATCAAATTCATTGAAATGAATGTACTTTGTTTTATTCCAGGAAAGGTAAGTCGAAACAGTCAGTTTATCAGTGGACTAGAAACTGTCATATTTCAGAATTTGTTTTCTATAGAAACATAATTCAGTAAACAGTAAAAACACCTTAAAACGTCTGGCAATGAAACTAAATGCACGTAGAATATACGAGGTCCGTTCTAAAAATAAAGTTGATGTTCAAATTTCGCGGGCTACTTACTTCGATTAGCGATTTTTTTGTGTTGGTACACACGACTCGAACATATGTTAACAGTTCCTGCGACTTTTTCGTTCCAAAATCGCCGAATTTTGACCAAAAAAATCGTTGTATGAGCGTCGTTCAGGAACTTGTTGAATGACGTCAACGGCGATCCTGATTTACTTAAAAGGGTAATAACTGGGGACGAATCATGGGTATATGGTTATGACATTGAAATCAAAGTCCAATCGTCCCAATGTTGGAGTTAGCAGATCTGTCTAAATTGATCAGCGGAATGGAAATGAAATACAGCAGTGAAATTCTTACTTGCAAACTTATTAAAAAAAAAAACGTTTGATGTTATAGGACATACATTGTTGCATTTTATAAATACATCTTTGAGTACTTGTGCCAATTCAGAAAGTCCCTAACACAAATAAATCCTGGGAATTTAGACCAATCAACACTTTGCCTTGTATTGAAAAAATATTAGAACTCGCAGTTTATAATCAACTCATTGAATATCTAGAAAATAATGATATTTTACTGAAATATCAGTCAGGTTTCAGAAAACACCATTCATGTGAGTCTACATTACAAGTCATAATATCGAAATGGAAAGAATCAATAGATAAGGGACATTATAATATAGCCGCATTTTTAGATCTTAAAAGAGCTTTTGCGACAATTGATCGCCACATATTAATAAATAAACTGCAAAGTATTGGTATCATGGAAACTGTTTTGTTATGGCTGACTTGATTATTTATCACAATGCAAACAGGTAACCAAAATAAAGGATTCAGTGTCATCATCTCGCGATGTCATTTTCGGGGTACCTCAGGGGAGTGTTTTGGGACCTATATTATTTTTAATCTACCTGAATGATATAGATACCATCCATGGTTGTGATTTCATGAACCTTTTTGCAGACGACACTTTTATATCAATTTCAGGGGATAATATAGAAACAGTAGCTGACCAAATGAATAATGAACTAAAAAATGTTTTCAATTACATGAATCGCAATAAATTAAAACTCAACACCTCCAAAACAAAACGTATGATCTTATCAACTGGTTATAAGCTATCACTCATCAACAATATCAACATAAGATTACAAATTGCAGGTGATGTAATAGAGTTCGTAAGTGAATTCAAATACTTAGGTTTCATGGTGGATAATCGTTTATCTCTTCATGCTCATTTTGATTATATATGTAGAAAAATTACTAAAAAAATATATTTTTTCTCAAGAATTTCATCTCAGCTTTCGATGTACTCAAAAATTACATTATATAATTGTATAATCCAACCTCATTTTGATTATTGTGCTAGTCTCTTATACTCATTTGACCAAAATAAGGTATCGGCTTTACAAAAGTTACCGAATCGTAGAATGAGGATTATTTTACAAGTGAATAGGTATTCTATTCGACTGCGTAAATCACAAAATTCTCTTGAATAAATTGGAAATGTATGGTTTCAGAGATGTAGCGTTGAAATGGTTTCATTCTTACTTGTCAGATCGCACCCAGTCTGTATTAGTTAATAATAAGAGATCTGAACCTCTGTTGGTATCTTGTGGGGTTCCGCAAGGTTCAGTACTAGGTCCACTACTGTTCCTGCTCTTCATAAATGACCTATCTCTCATCAATACGAAAGGAAAAATAACTCTATTTGCTGATGACACTACTATTGTTTAGCACTCAAAAGACAATACTGAACTATATAATAATATATCGGTTGATCTAGACATCGTTAAAAAGTGGTGTGATGCTAACAGACTGGCATTCAATACCACAAAAACCTGCATACTAACCTTTAAATGTATATTAAATGAAATTTTTCTAGGAAATACTTTAATTAGCTCCGTCTCATCAAGTAAATTCTTGGGTTTGCATGTAGATAATAATCTATCCTTTGATATCCACATCTCTAATCTATGTAATAGGATGGCTTCGGGATGCTATGTTTTAAGGGTTATTACCAGAGAACTCAACTTGCAAGCTGCAAGAAGAGTCTATTTTGCGGTAATAGAATCCCGCCTAAGATATGGAATTTGCTTCTGGGGTAATGCTTCTCAGTTCTTGTTACAGTCTGTGTTTATCTTACAAAAGAGAGCGGTTAGATATATTTGTAAGGCAAAACCGAGAGATTGCTGTAAACCCCTGTTTATTGATAAAAAAATCTTGACTCTGACATGCATTTTTATCCTTGAAAGTGTGTGTATGATACACAAAAAATGTAATACTACCAGTGATTCAACAAACTCTTATAATACCAGGCATAATAGCCACTAATAATAATAGCACTACCCATTCCTAAAAGCGCATTAATAAAAAAATGCGTAATATACAATGCAAGGAAAATGTTCAATCATTTGCCAGTATATCTTCGCTCCTTTCTTCATATAAAAATTTTCGAAGTGCTGTAAAATGTGTTTTGCTAAATAAAGCTTTTTATACTTTAGATGAATATTATAATGAAGATTTTGACTAACATTGCAATCACTTGTATACGCACTTTATATTATTTTACTTGGTTTTATTATTTTAAGGTGTTTATTTAATTTTGAATTGATCCCTTTGTGTTACATATGTATATGTGTGTGTGTGTATATATAGATATATGTGTACATACATAAATGTATTTCTAAACTTTGTTAACAAGAATTCTGTTCTTTGGACAATAAAGTTCTTTTTCTCTCTCTCTCTCTTTCTCTCTAGTATATAAAACATGTTAAGTACATTGCAGTGGCTGTCTGTTTCCCAGAGACTGTAAGAGTTAGCAATGATATTCATTTTCAAAGTAATACATAACTTGCTTCCAACTTATTTTGATGAATTCTGTATATATAAATCTCAAATCTATAACCACTTAACAAGAGTGAGTAGCTCCCAAAAATTCCACCTTCCTCGAACTAATTTGACTAGTACGATGAAGTCTTTATTTTATAAATGTTTGAATGAGTTTAACAAACTCCCACTTTCGTTGAAAGATTCAATAAATGTTTTCCAATTAAAACAAAATCATGAACTGTATAAAATATCATCCTTGATTTTCTTTTTTTTGTTTGGTAATATATTTATTATGTATATTCTCATGTTGAAACCATTCTGGAATCATTGAAAAATGGTTTTTATTTATTTATTCATCATCTTCTATTTCATTTCATTTTATATTCTCTCTTTTTTATTTGTTTTAATTGACTCTTTAATATTTAATATAATAACATTTTTAGATTTCTTCTTTCTTTCCTCCAGTTCCATAACTATCTCTTCAAAATTGTTGACTTCTTGTTTCTCCTTTTGCTTCAGATCTTCCACTTCTTGCTTTAATGTATTCATCTCCTTTGTGGATATTCCTGAACAGTTAAGGGTAGAATGTGTTGTTACTTGACGACTATCACAACATACCCCTTCACCAGGAGTAATTTCTAAGTTACACGTATTGCAGACCATTGTAGGGCAATTGGCTCAGTAGACACTCCCAATTTTTTCTACTACTATACCGGTTTTTGTACTTATAGTTTTTGTTGGGTTAATTAGTTTATGTTGTTGTTTAAACACTAATTACATGAGAATTTTCAAATTTGCTTTGAATACGAAAACACTACATATATTCTCCAGGTTTTTCACTTCAGATTGTTTTCATTATGATTTTTATATTGTAACAAAAACATTTTAGAAGATTATCATTATCATCATTATAAGTCCATCTCCATGCATGTTTTGAGTTAGTTGTTCAATTTTTTTGTAGGTACTCGATGAAATTAAAAGCGTATTGAATCTAGTCGAGCGTGATCAGGCACCTCCTCGTACGCATCAACTGCTGCAAGAATTGCGTGACCTCAGCAGTATGGCGATGGAACACTTCGACGAACACATCTTACCGACAGTCAAAGAGCTAGTTGTTTATCGAACAGGTGAATATCTTCTGTGCTTGCGCTTCTCCAATAATAGTATACCTTATTTCAGTGAAATCTTATGAATGTGTAACGGCGACAAATTCGAAAAAGACGAAGAGTCTGTATGCCCCACACGTGCTCTCAAATGAACTGCATCGAGTCAAGAAGCAGAGCAAGACTCACAAACACCACATTTCGTATTTGACTCAGAGCACGCAAAAGTTGTGCGAAAAGGTGAGGTACTGCCCATTTTTGTGTCGTTCCTTAAATGAGTTGTGTGTTGTGAAGAGGCAAGGATCTGGAACATTTGAACATTAGCTATAGAACTATAACATTCCATTTTTCCACTTTTCTTTTTATATTGTTTGCGACACGATCTGAACACTAAAAACCCCTTTTTTCCAATTTTGAATTGTAGATTGTAACATACCAATTGTTTGAAAATTTCTATTTTCACAGATCTGGGATTTCTCGTGAGTAGTCTGCAGTCTATTTGAAGTCCACATTATTTATTTCAATTATTTTCATTCACGTTACAGTTGGGTATGCAAATAGTCGTCAACTAGTTCTCTACTTCTTTTGATCAGTCAAAGTTGTTTTTCATAGTAGAGTGAGAAGTGAGGTACAGCCAGAGATATCTACTTTCAGTAATGTCGTACTTAGAATCGGTGTGTATGCCTCAAGGGATTGATGGAACAGCTGGTATCATTGCCTGAACTTTCAACCGATACCGATTCTATGTGTAAAAGAAGAAATTTTGAAGGGGTCTATTCTGAGCCCGGCTTCATATAGAAACCATTAATAGCATAAAAACAGGAATAAATTGGACACAACAAGGAGATCCTCTTTGACGTGTCAGGTTGCACTGTAAATCATAGGTCTGAGCAGCAGTCGCTGCTATTTTCTGTGATCTATCGAAAGCTTTCGACTGTGTCAACCATGAGATCCTTCTTAATAAGTTGCAACAGTATGGCTTCAGAGGCAACACTCTCCACTGGTTCCATTCGTACTGGTCGCAAACAGGTAGTTGAAACAACCGAGTGTTCCTCTGCTCAAACGGTCAAATGTGGTGTACCACAAGGATCGATCCTTGGCCCAATTTTGTTTCTTATCTACATAAATGACTTAGCTTTTATAGATATAACGGCCACAATTACTCTCTTTGCTGATGACACCACTTTATTATGGCACAACAAGGACATTCCTACCCTTCAAGATGCCATCTCAGCTGACATCAACAAAATCAAAGAACGGAGCAACTGCAATAAGTTATCATTTAATATCAATAAAACTAGCATACTTACTTTCCACTGCAACTTACCTGAGATCTGCCTTGGTGACAAAATCTTAGACAGGGTACATAACTATAAATTTCTAGGGTTGAACATTGATGATAAACTGAAATTTAAAAATCACACAATAAACCTAAGCAAGAAGCTTGCCTCAGGTTGCTATGCACTAAGAATGATTTCTAGAGAACTAGGCTACTCCCATTCAAGAACAGCTTATTTCGCTCTAATAGATCCCCATATTAAATATGGAATTGCCTTCTGGGGAGTCTGTTCTAGAGATTTATTTCAAATGATTTTTGTGCTCCAAAAAAGGGCTGTCCGATATATGTGCAAAGCAGCTCCCAGGGATCCATGCAAGCCTCCTTTCATAGCTCACGGTATTTTAACAGTAGCTGCCCTGTTTATCTTGGAATCAATTTGCTTGATAAAAAAATATTCTTGTGCATCTCCCCCTTCCTCATATAATACTTGTAGCCACAATAGTAACATAGATCTGCCTATTCCTGCGAGCTCCCTTGTTAGGGATTCAATTATATTCAACGGGATCAAACTGTTTAACCACTTCCCAGCCCGAATTAAAGAAATTATAGTGCTTAACGAATTTAAAAAAGCAGGTAAAATGCTACTTGTTGATAGGGCCTATTATTCAGTTCAGGAGTATCTTGACGATTCACTTAAATCTTAACTTTTATTTCTATGTCCTGTTATTTCCAGCTGTATATCTCAGTGTATTTCACATTTTTAGGTTATGTTTATTGTATTTTGTTTAAATTGTGTATGTTTTTTTATGTAGATTTTTGTATCTTACATATTATTTATGACTTTGTCTACAAGATGTAGTTCTTTGGGCAATAAAGTATATTTGATTGATTGATTGATTGTCCGAAGATTTGCATCTTATTGACGAAGTCCAAGAAATACAATGTTGATATAAAAAAAATACTAAAAAAGTATAAATGTAAATATAAAAAAGTTCCAAAAATGAATAAATGTAAATATAAAAAAAAAGTTCTAAAAATGTATAGATAAAATACCTCCATGTATAAAGTGATGATAGTACAATAGTAGTAAAAATATTAGTAATATATTATTAAAAGGATTCGCTAAAATACTCTTCCAAACTATAATAGGGTCTATCCACAAATAGGTTCTTCACCGCCTTTTTGAAATGAACGTTGCTTAAATTTGCGGATCTCATTTCTAATGGCGAATGATTGAACAATTTACCACCATTATCGTATATGGAATCCTTGATTAAATTCGAGGTTGGGATGGGAAGTCTAAAGGTATTATTGCTATTGCGAGTAGCATAATGAGTAGAAGCAAAGTTGAACTTCGATTTATGTTTATAAATAAGGCAAACTGTCTCTAAGATAAAAAGTGCGATGACTGTTAACATTTTATTGGCAGTGAACAAATCCCTACACGATTCTCTGGGTTTAACTTTACAGAGACATCTTAGTGCTCCCTTCTGTAATATCAATACAGAAGAGAGGAGGGATGAGTTGCATGCTCCCCAAAAAAGGTATTCCATAACGTAGTTGAGATTCAACAAGTGCATGGTAAACGGTCTTTGCGACATGGAAACCCAACTCGTTTGAAAAACCACTCTAACTGCATAACATCCTGAGGAGATCTTACTCTACAGTTGTTTAAGGTGCTCATCAAATTTCAGCCTATTATCAATGAATACGCCGAGAAACTTTGTGTTTAATTTATTTTGTAATATATTTGTCTATTGAAATGTCATCAAGCGAACATTTGAATGATATTATATTCGTTTTGGATGCATTTAGAGAGAGTAAATTTGCATCGCACCAGCTCTTCACGTTCTTCAAGTCGAATGATATTATTTTATTTAGCTCCATTGAGTTTTTTCTTTCCACAATATTGTAGTATCATCCGCGAATAGACTGAAACTACCAGATATGTTAATCATAGATATGTCATTCATATATAACAGAAACAGAATAGGGCCTAACACAGAACCCTGTGGTACATCAGATTCAATGGCCCTGTTCTCCGAGAGTTCCGTCGTCCTCACCATTTGACTCCGACCTGAAAGGTACGATTCGAACCAAGTGTTCGTTACACCTCTACATCCATATTTATGAAGTTTTTTTAATAAAATTTTATGATTGGCGCAATCAAACGCCTTTGAAATATCGCAAAAAATTGCAGCGGCTATTTCACCAGCATTCAATTCAGAGTAAATTTCATATAAAAAAGAGAAGATAGCATCATTTGTATCTTTTTCCTCTTGAAACCCAGGTTTTTGCTTATAATACAGTGCAATTTTAAGAATTCATCTAAACGTACTTTGACGAATTTCTCAATAATTTTTGCTAAAGTCGGTATTAAGGAAATAGGACGCAGATTGGAGGGATTATCTAAATCACCACCTTTATGTAGTGAAGTAACAACGGAAGTCTTCAGGGAAGAAGAAAATGAGCCAGTTCTGAATGAGGTAAACCAACAGCCTTGAGTTCTGGACATTGAATTTCCAGAACTCAACTCAGGTTTAGTGCCTTATGAGGGTGGTCCCAGAAATACTCGGCCCAACAAAAATTTTCGAAAAAAATTATTTATTTTTCAACATAATCTTGCATCTCTATATACTTTCTCCAGCGACGTTCGATACCGTTTTTTATTATAAGTACTGTCTTGCTCCTCAAAATAGCCATTAACTGCCAACATCACTTCTTCGTTGAAAACTTTTTGACCGCTGAGCCATTTTTTCAAGTTTGAGAACAGGAAATAATCCGCCGGGCTATATCTTGCGAATAAGGTTTATGAGATAGCAATTCAAACTTCAATTCAAACTTCAAATCTGTTTTAATTGTTCTTTTGTCTCTGGGTGTGATGGAACTTTGTTACAAATCCATGGTTATAAAAGGACGCAAAAATTATGCCTTGTTCCTTTGAAACTTCGCTAAACACTCAATTGAAACATCTTCACGACACTGTTTTTGTTCGAGTGTGAGCAAACGCGGCACCCAATTTAAATTCTCAAGTTAACCGTATTCCTTGTTTTATTGGTATTCTTGGAGTGTCTCCAATACCAGTGTAACTGAGTTGGTTTACAGGGACAAGTATTGAAAAGAAGTAGAGTATTTCTGTAGATGGCGGCAGAATGAGAGTACTTATTTATAATTGAATTTCTATTGAAAAATCAAGAAACGACCTGCGACCTTGCAAGAGCTAGTCATTCCAACTGGGCACATGTACCGCTTTCTTGCTCTAGTCTAGATCAAGAAACGAGTAAGGAAACGATACAGAACAAAGCATCTCGAAGGGTTCGCCTTGTAGAATATTTGCTTTTAAGACTGATACACTCGTGGGCTGTGAAATCGATTTTCTAAACGGATATCTGTGAAAATATTGATCCGCTCATTTCCTTGAGCGTATGTATGTTCCTCGCGTATTTCAAGATTGCATACATTTTAACCTGGAAAAGTGTGTACTGACCGAGTGGGCTAACTGAAATTAAGATTCTCCCCACTCAGTAAATTCCAGCTCTCATTCCATATTCTGTTTTCGAGTATATGGGTTTTTTTTGTTTTAAAGTTTAATGTTTTGAGAAATTTGATACCAAATTCCATGAACCTCTTTTTGAGGTCAGTCAAATTTTGTGAAATCCATCTGATCTTTTCCATAATGAATTATTCATTTACGGGTTCAAAACCCATTTCACTCAATTAGAGTGAACAACAATACAATAATATAAATGAATAGATCGTACCGTCAAAAAACATATATATAATCTATTCTTTGTGTTTCAGCTGGGAAAACTAAATACACGCCTGAAAGGACAATCTCAGAAGATTCGAGAACAGGAGAAGAAGATTCAAGAACAAAACACCAAAATCCAGGAACAAGAAGCCACTCTGGCCGATATAAAGAAGCACATGGACGATTGGGATCAGAAATACAAGGACCTCACCACGGAACTCGTTCGCGCTAGAGATGACATCCTGTCCGCAACGTCTCATAGATTGAATCCTGACGCTCAGACACCTCCTTCTCCGCCCAAGTTGTACAAAACTAATATCAAGCCCAGAGTGACCCACATTCTACCAAAGAGTTACTTGGGTTTACAGATGGATTTGGACAGAAAAAGAAAGTCGAACTTGCTGCCCGAGATTCCTCTCAAGCGAAACAAAGCAGCCGAAGATAACGAGAAAGATGATCTCAATTTGAACTTGAAGGATCTCACAGAGTTCAAAGACGAGAGTACTGAGGAGGTAGAGAGTAAGAACCCTGAGATTTCATCGATATTATCGAGGAGCAGCATTGAATTGTTAGTCAGTAATACACTGGACAATTTTTTGAAGAGTCCCCTCGCTAGCATCAATTCTCGCAAAAGAAAAATGGCTGAGGATATAGATTTGAAGTAGAGCGGTTAGTCCTGGTGAATAGAGATTTAATTCCTGTTCTCATATTAATTGATATTTTAGTTGCCAATAATAGTCGAAATGACGATTTTGGGTTTTTAACGTTATTCTAGGATATTGCTGGATATTTTGATTGCAGTTCTTAGTGGAGAAATGTTCGTTTGATTTATATAAAGTTTATTACCATAGTGAAATGTCGTTTATAATAAAAAACTAATATTTTTTTGTATTATTTGTCCCATAGGTTCGACAGTAATTGGCCACACTCTACAATTGAACTTGATTTTATACGCAAAAACTCTTAACTGAACTTCAGACTAATGGTCAAATGTACATCGCCTTATTAGCTCACTTTGCACTTCATTTTCCGAACTAGAGTGACTCTCCTACCTTGTGGTAATGCTTATATAACTAGATGGAAGTTTCTGGATGATGCCACTGGAACAACTCTCGAACAGATGCGATGCTCCGGAATTTTCGAGAAATGCAAGGGCAATGAGCGCGACCTTCAAGTCCCAGTCAATTGAAGAACAGCGTCGGCCGGCGTGATTTTTTTCTCGGGATAATTCATAATAATATACTCGGATCGAACTTCCTGCTAAGGAAAATTTTATTCATGATAGACAATTATTATGACAATTTTTTTCTTCTCTTTCACTTTTTCGAAATAATTGCGTTGAATGAATTTTTCCAGTGAATATTTGAGATTTCCTATGGTCTATTAAACTAGGTAAACAATGACCCAAAACTCTACATCAATATTTTATTACATTGTCGATTTGTAAAACGAACAAACTTCAGTTGGTTTCTTTCCATCTGTGAGAGTTCTAGAGATATTTAAATTTTTTGAGTAATTCAAGAAAAAAAAGCTTTTTCGAAAAAAGATGAGAAACAGTTTCATTATTTCTATTTTCACTTATATTTGAATTATTCGAGTCCCCAGAAAAAGATTTTTGATCATCCCGCCATCTCCCGGCTGATACTCACACTAATAAAAAACTTGTGTTAGATTTTCTGTGTAAAATTATAGGTTTCTTTACATTACGGCCGAAACGTTCAACTTTTGCCCACGAGATGGCAAAAGCCAATCTGCCATCTCTCGGTCAACAACCACACTAACTTGGAGCAACCATTGGATCCTAATGTAAAATCATAAATACCTTTATACTATGAACGAAATGTTCAGCTTCTGTCCACGAGATGGCGAATGTAGGCCAAAAGCAAAATTAATTTTGTATATCTCTATTTTCACTTATATTAAAACTATTTCGAGTTCTTTTTTAAAAAATTGACCATTCCGCCATCTTTTGGCTGATAGCCACACTAACATAAAACTTATGTTTATATTTCAGTGTAAAATTATAGGTTTCTTTACATTACGGCTGAAACGTTCAACTTTTGCCCACGAGATGGCAGAAACCATTCTGCCATCTCTCGGCCAATAGCCACACTAACTTTGAGCTGTCATTGGTTCTCAATATAAAATCATAGATACCTTTATGATACGAACAAAATGTTCAGCTTCCGCCCACGAGATGGCGAGAGTAGTCTTATAGGAAAATTAATTTTGCATATTTCTATTTTCACTTATATTAGAACTATTTCGAGTTCTCAAAAAATTGACCATTCCGCCATCTCTTGGCTGATAGCCACACTAACATAAAACTTATGTTTATTTTTCAGTGTAAAATTATAGGTTTCTTTACATTACGGCCGAAACGTTCAACTTCTGCCCACGAGATGGCGAAAGCCAATCTGCCATCTCTCGGTCAGTAGTCACATGAACTTGGAGTTGTCATTGGATCCCAATGTAAAATTATAGGTACCTTTATACTACGAACGAAATGTTCAGCTTCTGCCCACGAGATGGCGACAGTAGTCAAAAAAAAATAATAAATCCGTTGCAAATATAGGAATTCTACGAAGCTCTTGTTTTAGTGCACTGATGTACGTCTAAGTAGAATCAGGGTTTTGTATCTTATGAACAATTGAATTTCTAAATTTTAAAATTTGACAAAAAGGGAAATAAAGAACACATGGATTAAATATTGAGAATTTTATTATCTCAAATCAGAATATACAGTTTTATACAAAAATCAAAGCAAACTATTTCCATATAGAAGATTAATAATGAATACAATGGCTTGCATGAAAAAACGATATTGCTTTTTGAAAATTCATAAATCGGTATTGATATAACTATTTTCGAATGAAGTGAAGTTGGAAGAATATATATAAAATTCTTTTTCTTAAAGGTCAATTTTATTGCGATGAAATATTAGTATGAACGATAGTTTTTTAATAGAGAAAACAACACAAAATTGGTCAAGTTTAACCTACTCTAAAAACACCTATAGATACTATAGAAAAATACTACTGAGCACCTTATATTTTTATAAATTTCAGAATATCTGTAGATGATAATAACTGAAAAGGAACCTGTCAAGGTTTTGGATGACATTCTGATTATCTAAGTATTTTCTTACCACTACTATGAATATGCTAATTTACTTGTAGAGTGACCACCCTTATGTGATCCAGCCATGAGTTGATTGAAATATAGCAGTCACATCTGTCATCTCTATGTATATGTTAAAAAAAATATAAGAAGTAAGAATGTGTAGAACATTCTTATATCAGTATTTTCGAATTTACTTTTTTACTGCTCATCTGAAAATGAAAATATAAAGGGTGTACCATTAAAAAATGATATATTTCCAGCCGATCCAGAAGTACCAAATAAATTGGCATTGTGATTAATAAATATACTTTATATATACATGTAGACTGAATGTTAATTTCTGAAAGAAGACATTTGTAACAATCTGCTTACATTTTTCTATTAGGTGACCACTGTAGTTCAATTAATTCGTTAGAAACGCATCACACATGGCCACCTCTACTAAAAAATTAGGACATTTATTCCCAGCTCATCACCCTAAACTTTGACAGATTATTTGCCCTTTGCCGACCTTTTGAACAATCTGTTTCAAATTCCTGTGCAATTGACAGATACTTGATGAACATTTGTGATAATCAGTTATTTTGCTCAAAAGTAAAATATATTGTGAGTTTCTTGAATCAAATATTGACTAGTTCGATACAATTAAAAACTTTATGAAAAATAAAAATTTCTATGTTTATTACCACTTTTTTTTAAACGTTACTGCAGTTTCGTCCTATAAGGACATTTTCAAACTTACACATTAAACTAACCTAACCTTGTTTAATGTATAAGTTTGAAAATGTCCTTATAGGTCGAAACTGCAGTAAAGTTAGTTACAAATAAAAGTGGTAAAAAACAGAAAATTTAATTTCTCATTTTTCATTATGATTTCCTACCACGTAGTAACAGCTACATCCATCAATTAATTAAAAATTTGGTTCCTGTTCCAATTATATTAACGACTATATGTTGCTTATTAATTTGGTATCATTTTCCTTATTATATGAAAGAATATATCAGAAACACAAAACACTAAACAGAGCCATTCTCTAGAAAATGCATTAATATTTCAGGGAAGTTGATTAGAGTCTATAAATTTTATATTTCAGATATCCCTTCAAATTAAAATGGCTCGGCAAATCTGGGAACGACGGAGACCATCTAATATTGCCTCTTTTCCCAATCCATGAAAAATATTGGTCTAAATACTGACCTTCATTGTATTGTTGTATTGGACCAGAATTTTTCAAAGCATTGGATTGGTTGAAGAGGCAACATTGAATGGCATCCACAACCACCAGATTTCTCTCCATTTCATTTCCCATAACCAGCATCTTCAGAAAATAAGCAGTAAGTAAACAACTTTGAACTTCAGAAAGTAATTTTTCAGAAAATAGAAATTTCAAGGACTTCAAAACAGTATCTTACTAAACCCCTATGCCGTTGAAATATTTTGGGGGGACTGGCTCGGGGATAGAAGTTTCGGAGCACCAAAGGCCAGAAAAAATTCCCCTTTAATAAAAAATCGACGGGCCTCCGCGTATTTCTAAAATATTGATGCAATTCCTGATTAGTTAGAACTTTTCAGTAGAGTTAGAAGCCTGCGAAGTTGAATGACCTTTAAGAAATTGTAAAACAATCATAAACAAACATATTTAGTGCAAAAAAAATAGTAAGAAATATTTGTTTCAATAATGTGACTTTTTCATGACATATCACAATATGACGTAACTTTTATTTTCAACTCATTCCTAGTCTAGAGTCTACATCAAATACAACATTTTTGTCAGTATGTTTAATAATTTGAGAACTGTTTTTCTTCCTATTCAAGTGAATTTCAAAATATTCCCTCTGACGAGATATTTAAGAAATGGCTTGTAGTGTTGCACAACTTTCATAATTCACTTGACAAATATCGTTCTTATATAAAACGTCGGCCACTTGAGTTTGCGCTGTCGATCATTTCATTCCAGCCGTATTGTTTTTATTTTCCATCGAGAAAACAAATATATCCTACCGATTTACTGAATTCATTCAAATATTACAGTATGAATATCAATAAAACTTTCGTTTTATGTTATTCGAAATTGAAAATTTTATTCAATAAAAAGTAGTGTTATATTCGAGTACATACAAGGAGTACCTTGACAGGTTAATACTGCAATTTTTTCAAGAAAACTAATTCTATGACTAGGCTTTTCGATACTGGATATTGAATTTTCTGCCAATATTTTTTTGCAAACCATATGAATCCATAAAATGTATTTGGTATTGAAAAATTTCGTTGAATTGTTTTTGCCTAATTCAAATTTTTGTGACAAATCACAAACATTGATTCAGAAGCCTCCCTTTTAATAATATTTTCAAGTGTCATCTGTAGAAAGGAAAATATTGCTCAAATTGAAGAGTATATTTTTAGGAGAGATCAATTTTTGGGATATAAAGATGGAGAAGTAGAAAGTCAAAACATTTGTTTCCCAGAAAAAATTGTATTGAAATGTTTTTTCTTCGAAAATCTAAGTTTTTTTCACTGAAGAATCGTACGGTAGAAGCTAAGCCCTCGTAAATCTTTCGAATTGCTTGGTAGATTAATTACAACCAAAGTCAACAATTTTGCATTTTCGAAAAATTCCAAACGTTAGTGACTTATATAAATGTGAGAAATTAAACTTCCTATACGTATACAATAAACCTCTTATAGGACAAAACTTCAGTAACGTTAGTTACAAATACAAGTACTTATGATGTACTGTTTGGAACCTTTGTTGTAGTAATGAATATTACTGGAGTTTTTCCCAACACCAAATCGTTATTTTTACACCTCGACACGTGTTTCGATCACCAAGTGATCATCTTCAAGAGGAAGATAAAACTAGAAACTACTCAAAACTAAAGCTATTTATGCTATTCAGGTACATCATACAGGTAGGTAATCAGTAATACCACCCATACAAGTGTACCACCCTAAATTAATTTTACAATTGGCCTTTCTATTATTTCACAATATGTCCTTATGTATGTTTAAATGTTACAGCTATATATAGAACAATTTTCAGCTATATAAAATTAGTTTCACAATATTGCCTATCTAAATATATTTACAATGTGTCTTTTTGTAGTAATCAGTAAACCCAACAATATTATTTCAACAAGCTATATAGTATGCTACATGGTATTGGTCCGTTATCGCTATTCATAATATTATTATGTTTACTTATTTCTACACTCTCATAGGCATCTAGTTGCCTGTTGTTGTTAACTTGTCTAACTAATCTTAAAGAACCGAAGTCTATGGAATGGTTTTGTTGCAAAATAAGATGGGCGACTGCTGATTTTTCAGGTCTTCCATATTTTAAGTGTGCTATGTGTTCCTTATATCTCACTTTAATAAATCTTTTTGTCTGTCCATAATATTTTGCATCGCAGTCCTTACATTCAATTTCGTAAATTCCAGACTTTTCCGAATTCTCGACTTTGGACTTCCCAAAAGGCTCTGCAATGTATGACTTGTTTTAAAAACCACCTTCATACCTAATTCCATGAAAATCTTTCCAAAGTTCCTCGTATATTGGTGGTATGGAACTGAGATGTATTTATCTTGATTTTTGTCCTTTCTGAAAGTCGAAATTTCGTTCATTCTTAACCAACTTCTTTTTCCTAATTATGTCATCTACAATACCCCTCGGGAAACCGTTAGTGGCTGCTATTTCCTGTATTGTACGTTTCATGTGTTAGAGGGAAAGTTAGACAAGTTAACAACAACAGGCAACTAGATGCCTATGAGAGTGTGGAAATAAGTAAACATAATAATGTTATGAATAAGGACAACGGACCAATACCAAATAGCATACTATATAGCTTGTTGAAATAATATTGTTGGGTTTACTGATTACTACAAAAAGACACATTGTAAATATATTTAGATAGGCAATATTGTGAAACTAATTTTATGTAGCTGAAAATTGTTCTATATATAGCTGTAACATTTAAACATACATAAGGACATATTGTAAAATAATAGAAAAGCCAATTGTAAAATTAATTTAGGGTGGTACACTTGTATGGGTGGTATTACTGATTACCTGCCTGTATGATGTACCTGAATAGCATTAATAGCTTTAGTTTTGAGTAGTTTCTAGTTTTATCTTCCTCTTGAAGATGATCACTTGGTGATTGAAACACGTGTCGAGGTGTAAATAACGATTTGGTGTTGGGAAAAAACTCCAATAATATACAAATACAAGTGGTAAAAAAAATTACTGCTACAAACAGAATTTGCTGATAGTGAACTGGAATCATGTTATATTTAACAAAATAATGGATCATTATGTGATTAACAGATAACATTTATATTTTTTGTTATTTCATTTATATTCTAAGATATCAATGGATATTATGTGTGATAAAATTAGCTAACACTTTTACAGTGCCAGTTTACTGCTTCATTTGGATGTTGAATTCATGTTTAAACGCTCAGAACATGGAAAATAAAATTAGACATCCAAAATATATCCCAAGGAAGATTTGGAAGAAACATCCTTCTGACTAACCTTCTAACCGAACCTCAAAAACTAATATCATGTCTAAAATGCTCAGCGTTTCAAACCAAGTTCACACCACTCCTTCAAATATCGAGACTTCACCTTGTCAAGGTACTCCATCAACTTCACTTTATAAATCAATCCGATTCCAGTTCCATTCCTATTATTGATCAGTAATACTATCTTGTTAATATTATTCTAATGAAATAAACGTCCACAATCGCATACCCTGATCTATAACGAAAACTGCTAGAGGTTTGAAATGACAGGGATGCACTTCATTGGAAAAAATATGGGAAAGCTTGAATTTGTGAAAGTGACTAGAAGTTTCTTACAATAAATAAGAGAGGTACAAAATCTAGTTACGAAATATCTCTCGCTAGTCACTCGTCACAAATGACATATTGTCTCACTGTAATTTTTCGAAATAAAATTGTACTAAAATATATATCCGTTAATGAAAATAATAAATATACGAATACTTTCATAGTGTTAATAAAATGTTATCGACATTAATATTGGTGAACTAATCAGTCCTAGGTACGTAAGTGTTCAATTCAAGATAAACAATATATATATATTGACAGAATTCCTTCCGTAATAAGAAACAACGAATTCAACGAACACCTTACCTATATCAACAACAACTCTAGCTTCTCACTTCATCGTTTAAAAATATTTCAGCTTACAAACCGATGCGAGTCTCAAAAATTTCGATGGCGACTGATTCTTAGCTGTCGTAACTCGAGCTATTGTGATGGTCTGCTTGGGGAGATGGCGGAGTCGACAAGTTCGAACTATTGTTGCTGGCGATTGAGTGCCTGGGGCTGTTTCTGTTTTCTGTTCCCTGAAATATGAAATGATTATTATGAACTAGGACTGGTGAAAAATTTGAGGTTACAATTCCGCGAAAGAACACTAACAACACTTGCGTACCTGAAGAAGTATCACAATGTTTTGTTGAACACTGCAATAATGTTGTTAGTAGGGATATTTATACAGAGCAACTCGAAAGCAAATCGCAGTGACACAGAAAAAATAAGAGGGTCCTCAAATATATGATAACAGAAAAAATCAGCACGGGCAGACAAGAATGGATTGACTATATAGTGAGTGCAAGGACACTCAGGCATCGCAAGAACAAAAGAGCTGAGGAGTGTGCGACATGAATCATCAATTCCATATATAGGCCCTGGTACCAAAATCTTTGGTACGGAATCAGATTCGAAAAGTGGGTCCTAAACTATGTCCAGAAGAATAATGACATGCATCCAGTGAGGGACATATGCTGCCTATTCGAAAACTAAGGAGAATTTTCATTTTCTTCAAAATATATTTATTTATTCATCAATTTCTATTTTGTTCCCTGCGGAGTAGTCTTCCTCAGACATAATACACTTGTGCCAGAGTTTTTTCAATCCTCAAAGCACTTTTTGGTATGTTCTTGATCTTGGGAACAGGATCATGTGGCAAGAACTCCTTCTTTGTAAAATATAAAACCTTGTCAAATGAGATAGCTCCTTTATTCTTAATGGGAATGACATCTATAAGCAAAGGCCTCAATTTGAGGTACCAGCCAATTTCAAATATATGCCCCTGTAATGGTTTTTTTTTTCTGTTTCCTAATGGAAATTCATTATAATGTATTTTTGCACTTCAAAGTTTACAAAACCGCGACACGTGTTTCGCTATCCAATAACATCTTCAGGCGTCAAAATACTGACTGAACACATGATGTGTCATGCTTTTATGATAATTTGAATTCTAATGATTATTACTACCAGACATTTTTCTACATGATAAATTCAATCAAACATTTATCGAATCAGTTTTCCTTCACAATCACCTTAGACAAGAAAAAAACATAACATCATCATAAAATACTGGCTGATTCAACAGGTGAAACAAACATAAAAAAGACAAAAAAGTCAATATTTAACATAAAACATACACAAAAAATAAAAAGTTAATAAGCTACAATCCAAATTAAGAATCTAGGAGAAACTCATCCACAGAGTAGTATGCTTTTTGCAATAGAAAAATCCTGAGTCGCCTTTTAAAGATATTGATATTCGAGAATTTAATGACCTCACTGAGCTTATTATATAGCTTAACCCCAACGCACATGGGGTGATTCTTTGATACTGTCAATCTACTATAAGGTTGCTATAGTTGAGAGTTATTTCTTGTGAAATGTTCATGGATTTTCTCATTTCTAGGAATAATTGAAATATCGTTCTTTATATACATCAGTGTTTGGTAGATATACAAACTAGGCATTGTTAATAAACTATAACGAATGAATAATGGCCTGCAGTGTTCACTTGAAGATGCACCAGCCAGAATTCTGATTACCTTTTTCTGAATAACAAAAACTTCATCAGCTTTAGCTGATAAGCCCCACTGTCCAAGACCATAGGAAATTACTGACTGAATGAAACTTTGGTATAGAAGCTTGAGAACATCAAGAGAAACTTTTTTTTTATTGATTCGGCCGTTACTTGATGAAGATCCATAATAATTTCAAAAACTACACCTCAACGATTTGATCTCCACAAACTTTATTTGAAAAATATATCACAACACATGTTGTGTAGTTTTTGAAATCAAGAGAAACTGTTTATTTTAACTGACGAAGTAAATATATATGTTTACTGAGCTTCAGTTTGATATCAACATGGAACTTCCAGGTAAGTTTATTATCAATATCAACACCTAAGAATTTAGTACAATTAACTTGATGTATAGTTTCATTATTTATTCTAACCAAATAGCTTTTATCAATTGTTGTATTTTTAGTAACAAAGTTGGGCATTTGAGATTCAGATTAATTTAGCAGCAGGCCATTTATAGAACACCATTCATAAATTTGATCAGTTACTTCATTAGCTTCAAAAATTCCTAGTATTCTATTCTGGGACGATGTTGAATACAACAATGCTTCCGAAATCGTTAATGCATTCGCACAATTTTTTGAAAGTGCATATTCTCCACCCCTACAATCATATGAACACACGAATGTTACCTCAAACAATCCTATCATTTATTTAAAACATTTTTCACAAGTCGTTCCAATTTATTGCAAACAGTGGTCCCCCTCAAGGAAGCAATTTAGCGCCTCTTTTATTCTCACTCTTCATTAACGACATAGGACATAATCTCTCTAGCAATTTCTTACTCTTTGCAGATGATTTGACAATCTTTCGGCCCATTACATCACAGGAGGACTGCTTAATCTTACAAAAAGACCTTGACATTTTGTACAATTGGTGTACTGAAAATAATCTTCCCCTCAATACAAACAAATGTAAATACTCAAAATACACCCTCAAACATGTTATTTCTCATGATTACTGCATAAATAACACACCTCTTCAAATAAGCACTCATCAAAGGGATCTTGGTGTCACATTTGACCCTAAACTGAGTTTCTCCATCCACTATGACACAATAACATGCTCAGCCAAACGGATGCTAGGGCTCATCTATCGTAACTGTAAGAACTTTTGTAGCAGAGACAGTTTTTCAACTCTTTTCAATGCATACGGTCAAATCTCAGCTGGAATTTGCCTCCCTTATATGGTCACCCATATACAATGTCCACATAAACAAAATCGAGTCTATACAAAGAGGCTACATGAAATATATTACTTACAAGCTAGAAGGAGATTACCCTGTACAAGGCATCGACAACAAAATACTACTGAATAAATTTAATTTATTATCCCTTCAAAACCGAAGAACCTACTACTCTATAATTTTCATTTATAAATTAGTGACTGTCCCGAACTACTCTCCCACTTCAACTTTCATGTTCCACGAATTAATTCTAGAAATGAACTGACTTTTTATCTACCAAATTCTAGAACAAACATACTACTCAAGTCACCAGTTGTTGCAATGAGCAAACTTTACAATCAACTCTGTGAAACTCTCGACATTTATTATGAACCTATTGGTCAAGTTGAGAATCACGTTAAGAAACTTTTACACTCTAGTCAAAATACATGAGCCCAAATTGAAAGTTATTCTACCATGTGAGCTTATTACTACTACTGTATTACTGCTGAATTATGTTTTTTTGTAATAACACTTGAACTATGTTTTTACTTGTTAGCTCTATATCTGACTTGAGGTTTTTTTTTCAGTTACTCTCCTAGCTTGCTGCGCACAAGTGTTCCACCTAATTTTTTGCTTAAACCTCCTAAATGTTTACTTTATTTTATTTTTTGTTTACTCTCTTCAGGTGTTTCTAGTTGATAAATTAGTACTGTATTCATGTATATGTGTATGTATGTATGTTTATATGTATGTGTATTGTGTGTATATAAGCAGATATAAACTGTAACATGCTTGTTAATAATATTAATATGTCTTGTTATTGGGATTTATTCCTGTTTAGACACTAAACAATTTTTTTAAGGCAGAATGGTCACCACAATCCCGAACTCTTACATATGTTGATTTCTAAGCATTCAAAAAGGTTGAGTTTCATCTACCAAAGGCTAACACAAAAAAGACGTAGTTTATTGAAACAAATATTTTCAAAATACTTCATTTATACGTAATCATTTCTGAATGGTCCCCAATTCTAGTAAAACAAAGTACAATTTTCAATCATTTCCCATGAAAAGTCAGTTTTCTGGAAACCGTCATCATCCACGCAAAAGTACTTGTTTCTACCATCTACAGCAACCCCTTGCGAAGGAACATAGTTTCCGAAACCGTTACAAGTTAGTACAGTGGCATTCATCTGGGTGTCTCTGGCGCAATTGCAATTCAAATCGTTCAAATTCGTATTGGAATCAGTGGCGTAGCTGCCGATTTTTTTACCATCCCTCCACGTACAATAAGCTTTTCCGTTTTCGATGGTATACGCCCCGAAGGCTCCGTCACCGTCACACAACTTCATACCCAAGTTGGCGTACCGCACTCCGTGCAACTTGAGGGTGTTCAATACCGTTGCCAAGCCGTACTGGGCGCTATCGCACTGCCTCAGGTATTGACTGCCTACTTTCGAGGCAGAGTAGCAAGCCAGTTTCGGCATGGCCTTTTCTGGAACCACCGGGCTGGTCAGCTGCCCCGTTTTAGGCTTCACGCACCAACACAATCCGCTGTCGCACTGCAACGGTTCGTAGTTGCCCATACTGTCGCAATGGAAGGAGACGAAGTACCTTCCAGCAGCCTCTAGGTCTGCTCTTTTTCTGCTGCACGCGCAGGTCATGTCTTGGGACTTGTCATAACTCGCCTGACCAAACAATCTCTTGCCCATAGCATCGAAGCAGAAACACCTCCCGCTCTTACCACCCTTGCACTGTTTGGGTTTCCAGTTTCCCGCGATGTCGCAGTCTGGTTTGAACTTCTGCGCCGTAAACGTTGTGGTTAGATAATCGACAGTGTTGGCGTGATAAGCCATACAGGAGGCCGTATTATTCACACACATATCTATGCAATTAGCCCTTATACTACCGGTTTTGGCCACACACTCCTGTTTTGTTTCACAAGTAAACTCGGCATCTTCGATTGTTCCAGAACATCTTTTGCCGCAAACATATCCGGGAGGGCAGGGACAGGATTCCTTGAAGTAACCTTCTGGTTTATACGGCAAGCAAGTCGGAATGCAAGTCGATTTATCCACAGAATAGTAAAACGTTTCTTCATCAGTTTGTTTGGCGATACAATCTGACTGGTCGAAATCACTCACTAAAACGTTGTCACAGGAACCGTCAGATTCGAATATGAAGGAAAATATTGCGATGAAACTCAAAACAGCTCTCATTGTTTCGGTGGTGTGCCAAATACAATGCCAACACTCATCAATATCAATTTCACAATGAAATCATCAACTGATACTCAATCTGTTCTTATCTTCAGATAAGAATTTCACAAGCTGAACAATTTCTAATAACCATCTTGAAGTACGTCAACCAATTAATATGCAATCTTTCACAACAAACTCTCATTAGATGATTACAATGATAAATGGTAATAATAATAAATAAAAAATAATAATAATAACAATAATTATTATGAAGAAAAGAGAATTGGAACTTTCTATTTCTTTTACTACATGTGTCTGTAACTAACGTTACTGCAGTTTCGTCCTATAAAGACATTTTCAAATTTATAAACGAAAACATAACGTTGGTTACAAATAAAAGTGGTAAAAAACATAGGAAGTTTAATTTCTCTTTTTTTCATTATGATTTCCTACCACATAGTAACAGCTACATCCATCAATTTACGATAATTATTATTTTTCAAGAAGGGTTAGTTGGGTAACAGGATCAATTTTCTTCAAAAAACAATCGTTCTGTTGCCAACGTTTCGAATTCAATTAAATTTTTCTTCAGGACTCTGTAACAACAAATTTTCATAAACATACCTCCCACAAACCTTGTTACTGTTAACATTTCAATGTTAAGAGGAATCATGAATTCTTAATTAAATTACTCACCGAATAGAAGTTTCTTCATGTTAAAAATATAACTGTATGGATTGGAAATGGCATTTGCTCATGATTTCAAATTTCTCAGTTTTACTGTTAAAGTTGTGTTTTGAATCATAACTTAAAAATCTTTCAGAAAAAGTTGGTTTGGAGACACCAGTCTAGTTTCGATTTTCGGTTCGCATCCTTGATTAGTTTTGTGCTAATTAATTGTTTTCTTCCATTTCAAGAGTACATTTCAGTTTTGAATGAAAACTCTGGGAAGTGTCTAATTTTTCAGATTGTTTATTTTTTTAAATGGATGGATAAAAGAGAAAGCTGAGAAAGAGACCTCTTTTCTTTATAATATTCACGAGCGACATAAAGAACACCTGTGTTGCTGCAGATCAAATCATTCTCTATGCAGATGATACGAATATTTTAATGTCCAGAACAAATAAAGAATGGTAATAAGGCATCAAAGGAAATCAGTGACTATTGTAGTAAAAATGGACTAGCACTAAACACCGCTAAGACCTATCATATTCGATTCTTACCAAAAAATATGAATCCTGATAATGATCTCTACTTAACAGTCAATGGAAAATCGATAGAAAGCAAAGAGAGTATGAAGTTCTTAGGTGTGGTGCTTGATAGGAAACTTTCATGGGAAAACCATATCACCACAAGTTGAAAGACACGCCAGATGAAGCCATTGTATGGCGAAACACGTGTTGCGTTTTTGTAAAACAATTTAGTGAAAATCTCACAATAAAGTGTTTTTGGAATACGTTATATGTGCAAAAAGAAAGGATATTTAAATATTCCAAATGGGGCACCAGCCACGAGAAAAAAAGGGAGTTCATAAAGTAAAGTTACCTTTTTATCAAGGTTTCTTAAATTTCGGGTGGGTGAATTTATATTCAGTATCAGCATTGTACCCGTACGGAGCCGGGGCGGGTCGCCAGTGGATGGAATATGAAGTCTGTTAAATTTTCACTTTTATTAAAAAATATTCATTTATTCATCAATTTCCATTATGTCCCCTTCACAGTAGTCCCCTTCAGATATAACAAATACACTTTTGCAGGGCGTTTTTTCCAATTCTCGAAGAAGTTCTGATATGCACTTTTTGGTATGTCATTGAACTCTCTTACAATTCAGTTTTCATCTTCTCAATCAATACAGTCCATTCATTGATCTCCTTAATTTCGGGAAGAGAAGTCTAAGGGGACCAAATCTGGTGCATAAGGTGGCTGAGGCATGATTACAGTGTTGTTTTTGGCCAAAAAATTACGAACAAACACTGACGAGTGAGCAGTTGATTCAAGATAAAACTCCTTAATGACCGTAAGACCATTTGGCAAAAACTCTTGATGCAGTTCGGCACGATAATCGAAGAAAACAGTGAGCAAAACCTTGCCGATGAATCGAATTTGGGGCGACTGGACTTTGGTTTCGATGTCTTAACCATATATCCATGATTTATCACATCTGGATCGCCGTTGACGTCATTCAACAATTCCTGAGTGATGCTCAGGAATTGTTGAATGTTTTTTTCTCAAAATTCAGCAGTTTTGGAAGGAACTTCGACGCAACACGTTTGATGCGCAAAATTTCCGAAAAAATTGTATGGAGTGAGCCAACCGATATGCCGACACTCTCAGCAGAAGATTCTTCAAACAATTCTCTTCACTCTTCACAAATAAATAAAATAAAATTACCCTACTATGAAGAACCTACTGCTATTATTAATTTTTTTTGGTAGGTATACTAGTTTCCTGTTCAATTGTCATTTTTCATCTCATTTATACGATTATTTTAAAATGGAATGTCCATAAACGGACGTAAATGGAATGTCCTCTGGCTGTTATGGGGTTAGAGTGATGTATAAAGAATTGGGGTTCACCACTGCAAAGATGGCGTACTATGCACTCATAGATTCTCACTTACGCTACGGAATACCGTTTTGGGGAGCATGTAGACCAACTTTATTCAAAAGTCTACTAATTTTACAGAAAAGGACAATAAGGTATATAGAAAATCTTAAACCAAGAGACCCCTGTAGACCCTTCTTCAAAAAACATAATATTCTAACAGTAACTGCATTATTTATACTTGAATCTGCGTGTTTAATAAATAAGCATATATTAAATTTTGCTGCATCCTCTTTTATAACACCCGAAACTGCAGACACACTCTGAAACTCACTGTGCCAACTAAAAACATTACCAGAGACGCCATATTTTACAACCGTGGAAAAATGTACAATCATTTGCCTATGGACATAAGGCAATTTCTATCTGATAGACCCTATTATACTTTGGATGAATATTTTAACGATACCTTTTAACTGACGCATATTTTTTATCTTTACTTATTAAGGAACTCCTAAGTTGTTACTTTTTATGTCTACTCTTTTATAAATTTGACTTACGACTCTTTTATATCCTCCATTTCAACATAGTTTGTACCCATGCCCCATTTTTATTTTTATTTCAGTTTGTATGTATTGAGTTTTTCAAGTATTTACTACCCAAGCTTTATCTACAAGATTATGTCTTATGATAATAAAGAATATTATTATTATTATAATTAGGCGAATCATAACGGTACTCACCTTAATCATTTCGTGTAGGGACGACATGCTTCCGATGCTAGCAGGATCAGGAGATGGAGAAGTATCGGAGGGCCGAGGCAAAGCGGGGGGAAGATCTCTGGGTCGAGGAGGCGGTGCTCTTTTTGCACCATTGTAAGCGGGAAACGAAGGCCTTATGGGCGTGGGATTCGATATCTCCGGTCGTTTCCTCTCGCCGTGTTTGGGCGGCAAAGGGGCTACTTTGGTCGGCACCTGGAGGAAAATATTTCATTCATTACATATAAATGACAAAGCCATTTTATGTATGCTTTTTTGTGCTCGTCCTATCTTTGGATCAGTTTTTTCTTGCTTTGGCAGTACGAGCAATCAAACCTCGCCACACACGCCATACAAAACAAACATAACTTTCCTCCATCAGAAAAATCAAACTTATAAAACATTGCAATAAAGGAAACCGTATGAACATTTGAGATAACCTCCATAAATTCAAAAGTCATAATTCACTTATCGAGGAAAAAATACAAATCAAAACACAACAAGACTTAACATTCAATATACTCCACAAAATGATACACAAAACCAGCCTGAGCCCTAATTAATAAACCATCAACAACAATAAAAAATTCACTGAGGCGATCTAACCGTATAAAAGAACAAACAAGAAGATAAAACGTTCAGTTTAAGTAAAGCCATGAAGATGATACCACAGGCTGCTATCAAAAGCGCTTCCATATAATAATCAGAAGCTTCAAATCAAATCATTCCTAAAGTAATAGATAATATCATTTTATACATGATGGGTCAATTGAAACGGGTCACTTTTTTTTAATGAAAATACAGTTTCTCAATAAAATTATTCAGCTGCCTCTTTAACTCCCTAGAAGTAATAATTACCCCTGTCAAAATTTTAAATGAAACGGGGTAGCATGTGATACTGAGTTCAAAAGGGTTTTCAATGAGGAATGTTCCTCAAATTGGCTTATTACAGCAAATGCAAGTTTGAACAAAATAAAGTTGAGTTTATTTCACGAGTTCTTCAAATTCACTTCGAAAAGTATTCAAATTGATGTTTCAAATGTTGGGTTTTAATTTTTAAAGGGATTTGTTTCTAATTCACATATTGGCAACAGAAATGTAGGGTTTCAATTTTTAAAGGGATTTGTTTCTAATTCACATATTGGCAACAGCACCTATATCAAGTTGGAATAATTTATATGTTCCTAGATATTCTACTTTAAAAAAGAAAAATTATCTTTATAAATCAACAATTAAGGCAAAATATAAATTATAGTTCAATACCACCTTCACAAGCCACATAAACAACAGTTGTTTTATTATTTATTTATATAGAGGAAGATAGGTTAGGTGCACAAAATGTGATATATCACAGAATGTCTCGGAACTCGGAACATAAGTAAGAACAGAACAGCACGCCTCTGAAATATGTCATCTCTGTTTGTCTCATACAGGTAACAGATTCATTGTCCTTTATTAGCTATAACCAACGTTGCCAAATGGTGAAATTGACTAGTCTCCTAGTTAACTTGTTGCCAAAAACGAAACATCAGTTACTATGAACAAATTGTATGTTTCTTGGGAAATAAATGGTTCATTAATCAATCAATAATCACAATTTCAGGAGTAGGAATTAATACTTTATAAATGGGAACCATCATCTCAAAGGAGAGAACCAACATTTCCAAACTGGAAATAAACATCTTAAAAGTGGGAATCAAGAAACTAGTTGCTTCTGTCTACACTTAGAATGACTATTAAACTTTTGATTATAAAATGTTAATGAAAAAAAGATGCAAATTTGTTATTGTTCCTTGTAGATAAATACAAGTTGTACTACTAAGAGGCCTCAAAGTAAAGTTTTTTAAATAATGTGCCGTTTTGGAGCAAAAAAATAATGATAATGAATAAACCAATACCTTAGGTTGAAGCATTGTGTTGCTTCCAAAACTGCTATGATCCGGCAACTGATCCACCAACGTGGGAGTTAGATCGATCAACCTCTGTCGCTGTATACCGTCTCCCGGTCCCATGTGGGAGATATGGTTGAAATTAGTTGGGGCAGATATTAGCTTCGAACGCCGATCCGTACTCCTAAAAATCCAAACATGAATAACACAAAAATCAATCCAACCATTACGATAACCAAACTCACATCCGCTGCGCTCTGTTTCCTTCTCTCAAGGAAAACCTCCTCCTCGTTTTGTGAACAGTTCTGCCTTCCCTATCGAGCGTAACAATGTTCTCCATGTTGATCAACTCTCCTGGAATTTAATTTCGATACAAACCAGATCCGGACACGGTTAGCTGATACTCACTTTGATGGATGTTTGATAAATAAAGCAGATGCGCCAAATCGTTCAGTAGGCAGAGACTCAAGCTGCCGCTTTCGTTCAATGGTTTTGCTTTCTTTATATTTACAGTCTGAACCCAGTCTCCAGTGGCGCAATTGAAAATGTCTATGTGAGTCTCGCTGTAGACAATCAAATGCCCATCCCGATAACCTGAAAGTCAAAAAGTTAGTCAAAGGGGATTTTCACTGAATTGAAACACATGTTTCACTCTATGATAGCTTCATCAGACGGTTTTTGACTGTTTAAAACGTATTGGAAAAGCCAGAGAGCTCCAGGTCTTTTCTTCTCTGCTTTTGCACAACCAAAACGTACTTTTTTTGGATCGAATTCAATTCAATTCAAATATACTTTATTGTCTGAAGAATAAATTCTTATTGACAGAGCCTTATGCGAAATATAAATAACATTTGAATTGAAGGAGTTATATTTTTTAGGAGTTATTAATTTTTGGGAAAGAAAGTTTTTGGCTTTCTACTACACCATCTTGATACAAAAAAAAGGATGAGGGAATCTTCCAAAGAAAGGAAGGAAGTAACTCTATATATGGATGTATATATCATGCAAAGAAGTAACTTTCAAATACAAACTGAAAGAAAGTGTGTGTATTTTCTATAATGTTATTCAATTTGGTACTGAAGAGCCTTAGGGCAAGTGTCTTAAGGCGAAACATCGATGTATACCAGTGAGGATGACAGTGTTCCATGTAAGCGCAATTTGTTACTATTCATTTAAAGTAGAACTCATGTGAATGATATCTGATTTTTATTCCACAACGAATGTTTGAAATACAAACTGAGTAGAGAAAAGTATCTCCTGTATAATTCAGTGTTCATATAGAAGTATTTGTTTCGAAAGAATTTTTTTCTTTCGTTTAATTCAATGTTTATATGAAAGTAGCCGTTTCAGGAGGACTTTTTTTCAGTTTGTGTCTGAAAGTTACTTCTTTGCATGATCTACACATCCATGTATACAGTTACTTCCTTCCTTTCTTTGGAAGATTCCCTCATCCTTCTTTTTTTGTATCAAAATGGAGTAGAAGAAAGCCAAAAACTTCCTTTCCCAATAAATAACATATATTTGTTTGAAGGTGATTGACAATGTTTCGTGATGAATTTCACTAGTTCGGACTTCCATTGTCTATTATATAAAATGATTTGAAATCCCTGAAACAAGTAAAAAAGAATAATTAAAAAAGAATAGTTGAAAATAACAATTATATTAAGCAACAATAAACCTGAAATGA